GAACTGAACAAATTGTTTACAAGAAATTTAGAACCGAAGAATCAATTTCCACCGCAAGAATGGGCGTTGATAAGTTTTTGTTACGTTGTTATGTGTACGAGAATTAATAATTGCACGTAATACATCAAGTTTTAGTAAAATATCAAAGTGTGAAGATTCGAGTAAAAAAAGCTCGGCACGGAACGTGTTAACAAGAGATTTGTATAAATCGATCGGTGAGTTATTAAATCGAATTTCCTTTGTTAATAAATTTACTATTTCTCAACTCTTAATATTTACAACAATTCTGTTTGTTAAAAGTTTGATCAAGCACCTTACTGGCTATTTTGCCAATTAATTTGTTAGTGAAAATAATCGGTAGAATCAGACACATGGAGTAATATTTCGAGCACGAATGATACGAGAAATTATTGCAGCAGACGAGTTTCGTTGATAAATCAATTGCTCTTCGATGTTTAATATTAACGAGAAGTCTTATTGAAAATTATATTATTAAATAATCCCGTGGCTATTTCGTCGTATCATTTCGTAATGCAAATAATTAATAACGTCAAACATGCACAGTGATTTTAAAACCACGAATGTGTCGAAGAATCTTTTACATCGCAAATGTTCTACTGATAAATTTCTTAATTGTTTAATGGTTTCTCTAATTNTATTTCGTCGTATCATTTCGTAATGGAAATAATTAATAACGTCAAACATACAAAGCGATTCTTATATCACGATTTTATCGAAGCATCATTACATCGAAAATATTCTATTGATACATTTATTATTTCTAGCTGTATATATTAATAATTATAAGAATTTCTTTTCCTAATGAAATCTTCTAGTACTCTCTTGTCTGTTTTACTATCTAATGATTGAACAAAATTAACTAACACAACTCGAGATAAAGAAAAACTTTCGAAGCATAAATATTAGATAATAAAATTTTGACAATTAAATCAAAAACTGTTGTCAATATTTATTTTCCATNTATTGATACATTTATTATTTCTAGCTGTATATATTAATAATTATAAGAATTTCTTTTCCTAATGAAATCTTCTAGTACTCTCTAATGTTTAAACAAAATTAGCTGGCATAACTCGAAATAAAGAAAAACTTTCGATGCATAAATATTAGGTAATCCACTTACACGTGGATGTTAGAAATGATTGCTTAACTAATGCAAAAAATAATTATCTAAAGTTAAGAATGATTATATTTTTAAATATTTTAGGGGAAATTTCATTGCAATATCTCCAATGGTTCAAAAGTTATAATATAATGTGACTACATTTCTCGATTCGGAGAATATTCCTATTTGAATCGAGCTTCTTTTTCGTTCCTGATAGAAAATGCTGATGGCTCCATCTTGTATTCATGAAGCAGCTTCATATCTGTAGATAATATGTACCATTTAACGGAATCTGTACAGCAGATACCGATCTGCTGAATCCGTAAAATCACGTAACTACCCTAGCACCATAAGGTACGTACTTACGCAGACGAGGTATAGTTATTCCCCGATAGAAGCCGTTTCAGTTCCATTTCCTTGAGTTTGGTCAGTGCTTCCAGAACAGGCGCACCTGCCACCTAGCAGAGCATCGTGTACCGTAAAAAATGGCGCATTGATATTCATCGAAATGGTTCAAGAAATATGTTTCTCATTTCTCGCATGTCGATTCTACGAAAGAAATTGGTTCGTGCATTCTTTCGAACAGGAATCCTTCATAGGACAGGATTTTAATATTGATACAATATTATATTTATAATTGCTACGATCTTCAAAATTTATTGCTGCACCCGAATACGGGTTAAAAGTTCCCGTTTATAATCAGAGCTACTAGAGGAATCGAGACGGTTTCGAATCACAAAAATACTTCGAAACATTCGACAAACGTTAGCATCGGTGTCGACGAGCATAAAGAAGATCCACGATTAAAATCGACGTTGCTAGGAAAGGAATCGACAAAGCACACAATCTTTAATTACAGATCGACGCATTCATGTTTCTATCGGACAGAAAAGCATCGGACGGACGTTCGAACGTGAAACCGTAAGAAGATTTTGTGCAGCAGTTATTGCAATTGAATTTTGAAAATGGCGGCTGGCGGTAATCGAGGCGCCACCGGTGCTCGAGTTTCTTCGTGGTCGTTCGTGGCTGTTCGTACGGGGTGCACGGGGTCCACGGGACTCGAATCACGGAGCCCCGCCCTGCCGCCCGCCAGAGCCGTGAAGCAGAGCAGCAGTAGCAGCAACAGCAGCTTCGCTTGCTTCGTGTCAGTAATCATTCTTTTTTATCAATGAAAACAATCGCCTGAGCGTGGTGTCGTTCGACCGAGGAGAACTTATTAGGCGGATACGTTGTGCCCGCGTCTACGTAGTACACAGCGGTCCCAGCAGTGACTTCGCGGGGAGTTAACCTTAAAAAGAGAAGTGGCGGTCGTCGGTGGTGTCGCGACAGAGAGAGGATCTGTTGATCGCGCGCGTCGTCGCCGTCGTCGTCGTCGTCGTCGTCGACGAGTGCCGTTTCTTTCGTTCCGTTTCACGACACGGTGTATCGGGGACGGAGACGGTGTGAAAAGGAAAGTGCATCGTCATCGATGTGAGCAGACCGAAAGAAGAGGATAGGGAAGAAGGCCCGCCGTTGCAGGAGAGAAAGAGAGAGCGAGAGAGAGATAGAGAGAGAGAGAGAGAGAGAGCGAACGAGTGATAGAGAGAGGAGCCGTTCGTGGGACATAGAGGCCGTTACGTCGAGCCGGGAATTTTGGCAAGCGTCGCTCCGTTAGGGAGCTCCAGGTACGATAATTACCGTTATCGTTTATCGTCGCGTCCCGTGCGCCGTTCCACGTCCCCGTTGGCCGTGTAATCGTTAACGTTATAATAGAATCGAGGCCGGCCCTTCGGCTGGATCGCGAGCAGCCAACATGGCGGCCGCCTAGGCTACGCTGTCAAATTTTCCCCGTTCCGTCATCGCGGTTATTTTAACACCGAGACCGTGTTTCGCCCGATTCCTCGCCCCGCTGTTACATTCGAGAACGACCGACCGGCCGGAAAATACTCTCTCGGACGCTCTGGAAAAGAGGATCGACGGTATAGATTTTTATTTCCCCTTTTTCGCAACCGAGACCGAGCCGAGCCGAGCCGAGCCAGTACCCGCCCGACCGCCGGCTCCGGGCGGTAATGAGATTCTTCCTGCTTAAGCTGAACTTTCCTCGTTCAAGAATTTCTACGGAGTCGGAGCGAACGAAGCTGTTAACCCTTTCCCCCGATAGACGCCGAAATCGAGCGGCGTTTGAACGTCGTTCGTGGAAACGCGACAGCGATAACCGCTACGAATTATCTGTTTCTTAACTGTTCACGGCTGTCGGCGGATTTGTTGTTTCGAGACGACTCGGACGCGAAACCGGACACGAGTAACAGATGCCACGAACATCGTAGCCGTGGTAGATCTCTGTAGAATCGTGTCCCGCAACGAGAGGGTTAACGAGCATGGCCGCGCGCGGAATTTACCGACCGCACTCTCCGAACGCTAACCGGGAGAGCACTTTTCACCGAACTTCTCCGGTTGGCCGGCGATACTCCGAGATTACTACGAATTTACATAGGGGATCAATAACCATTAATTCACGGTGCGAGCCGAGAGGTATTTCATCATCTGTTAATTCACGCCTGCGTCTAGGATTTATTGGGTCGATGCGTGCAAAACGCCCGCTTCCTCGAGCCTCTGGTTATATTATTATTGCTCCAATTATTATTACCCGGCTTCATTATGCAATGCTATAATAGCGCGGCCGGGGTGATTCTATCCATCCTGTGCATTTTTCCGACGATCAACCCTGCCCGGGCCTCGAGTGCTCCGAACGTTTCGGCTTCCCGACCAGAGAGAAGCGTGGACAAATATTTATATCGTCCGGGGGACAATTATTTATTCGTCCAAAGGTCCAGGGTTGTGATCATTTATTTATTTCCCTGGCTTCGATACGAATTGACAGAGGGCTTTTATTCTTGGTAATGTAATTTTAGAAACAGGATATCGAGGGTAGAAAGTAAAATAGGATCGCAATTATATGCATGTTGTTACAGCTTCTTCTTCGTTTTATCTCGTCTCGGCCAGTGTATCGTTCGCGTTCATTATAATTCCACTCGCCACGATGAACCCCTTTCGATACAATTTCTTTCGCGATGATTAACACTTCGTACATCGCTGCACGAGAAAGGAAATTTTAAATGATATTTATCGTGTTACACGAGATCTATGTTTCATTTTGTGTCCGTTAATAGACGAATCGGCGACAGCGTAATCGCGAAAAGGAGCGGGTCGGAGCGAAAGAATCGTATAAACGCGAGATCGAATCTTAATTTCGGTTCAAGAATGAGATAACCGGCTCGAGTGCACCGAGCGTAATTCAGTGACCCCGTCCGCGAAATATCGCAGCTAATTACCGACTTTTTCCTCGTCTATTTCGCGGCAGCTTATCGCGTCCCTAGAATGCAATCGATACGTCGTAGCCGCCCGGTATTCGGCGGACAAAAAACACGCGATATCTGCGGAGAAATTTTTTATTTTCATAAACATCGAATATGCCTGAACGTGGAGAGATAAGCAGCCACCTCCTTATCTCGCTTGTAGTTATATTCAGGGGAAGAAAGCGAAGACCGAGCGAAAATTGTGAGTCACGTACCGCCGCGATAACCTCCAGGGGGAGGGGAAAAAGGGTTTTTATTATTTCGCAGCTCCGGCAGCTCCACCGTAATAAAAAGGGGAGGGGTTGGTTGCATAATGGCGGGGGGTGGGTGCCGAAAATCGCAGGCGAAAACAAACCCGGCGTCGAGGACGCGATGCTTTTGCGAAAACGTGAACCCGCCGGATAAAAATACCGCGGCGCCGCTTTGTGCACCGGGTACACGTGCCCGCCGCCGAAAATATGACACTTTCATCATCCGGTGGCTGCACGTTTCATAATTATTGCCCGAGGCTCGCCTAGTCGACGCTCGCGACCGCTCTTCGGTGAACGATCGATCCTTGATCCGAACCACGGCTCTTTCTTGATCTCCGCTCCTGAACGCAGCTGGAAATTATGGTTGACCGGTTAAGTAGGAGTTGACTTCCAATTTGCACGCGATTTCGTTCAGCTTTTGTCGCCTTCGCGTTAATGCGGAGGACTGCAATTTATGGTTTCATAGTTTTCATTAATCATTCCGTTAACATCTGTTGTAAACATTTGAATTCTTTTTTCACCCGAGCGCCTTTCGTGCGTCAGGTGCACCGTTTTCTTGACTCCTATCGTAAATTTGTGATCTTTGTGTTTTCCACGGGAATTCTTCTTCCCCTAAATAAATAAATAAATAAATAAATAAATTATCTGCTACTGTATGCGGCGGAGTTTTCCTGGGGTTTTCTTTTATCCGAAAGGCTGCGTTATCTTTCAGGCATTCCATCTTGCTCCAAAAGATTACTATACACGCGTACAAACGGTTAGGGGTTCTATCTTACTCGAAGAGATATCGAATTTGTAATTGTTTAGAAAATGTTATGCTCGGAATGTTACACAGCCTCCAATTACGTCTGCGCGTTCTTAATTCGCCCATCATAGCAGACCAGCATCCGAACCAACTTTTTCTCGTGTTGCTACAATAATTTATAACGTCGTATTTACTTGACACGATACCGGGGGTGGAAACAGAGATTTCTTAGGAAGATTCCCCTTGTCTGGCTCCGAGTTAGCCCGATTTTGAGCTATCCACCCTAGGCAGGCTCAGCTCCGAAGCCACCTTAACCCGTTTAGTTGAGAAAATATCGTTTTCTCGCTATTTTTAATAAACAACAGTTTCATCTCTTATCTCTTCTTACTTTATGAATTACGTTAGGACTAAAAGAGGTGAAAATTCGCACTTGGAGGATTAAACGGATCACTTCGCGGCAAACCATCGCCGGTTATCGAACATCAGAAATGAACCGTTTTGGAATGGTCATGGTAAAATTCGATGAATATTTTTTTTCCTTATCTTGGTGGCTTTCCTAGAGCGTCGAGAACTTATTTACTCAGCCGATGAGTCAGCCGAGGAAAACGAATGGCGAAGGAAGCATCGTAATCGGGTGCACGGCCTTGAGGGACTGGTCAGCAACGTTGAAAATTATCGTTCTTATCAACGACGACACCGTTGCTCCATCTGTTCGTCGATCATTCGAGGGTGGTAGTCCTCCTGTCGAGGAAGGTTTTGCTGGTCGAGAGAAACTCTGTGGTTCTCGGTAAAGCGTCGAGGAAAGCCGCCGAGCCGTAGGAGCGCGCTATTGGCCGGCCAATTGCTGCGGCAGCTGTCTTAATCGCCTTTAATTGGTTCGAAATATAAAGTCGTCGCAGTCCCGAAGACAAGTGGCGTGTCTCTTCGCCGGCAATTGACAGCGTGCCACTCGAGAGATGCGACGCCGATAGCCCGGCGTTGTCCGATATCGGTCCTGCACCCTCGATCGGCCAGGAATCGATCGCTGCCACGACCAGCGAACCGACCCACCAGATCCTGATAGCCGAGCATTCGCTGACGGTATATAGTTCGATAAGCGAGCCGATCAATACGCGAAAAACGATACTCCGATCGATCGAATCGCCCGACCGTCTTGAGCCGTCTCTCTTTCCCTATCTTTCTCCCACCCCTCCCTCCCTGCATTCTGTAATATAAAGTGCGCTACTATTCGACGAGCGTCGCAGAATTGGCTCGCGTTTGCGATAACGCTCGGCGAGCAGACTTGATTCCAGTATCTGCAAATACTGCTTATCAACCGTGCGCTCGAGCCAGTCGAAATCTTCGCTGATAAGCAAGCCGCTGCGCGATCTGTTGCCGCGAGCGTTAAGAATAATTGATACGCGAGACTCGGAAGAGACAAATAGCCGATGCAATTTTTCCGAAAGTTCCCTAAAACGTTTCGCTTTTAAGCCCTTGCTGGACCACGTCAAGCCAGAGACGGTATTCGTATATTCTATTTTGCTCCTCTTCTAGGATTCGCGCGACAAACAAACGTGTCTAATTGGAATTGCTTTGTAGTAGATCAAGCTTTCTAGACTTGGGAACTAACAGACAAAATCGACGCCTTCGATAATGTTGAGGCAGTCCCGATGCAGAAATTTTGTTCATTTCCATGGCAAATATCGAGCAACGCGATAGTTTTTTTTTGAAACCGCAGACTTGCTCGATAAGAATTAGATAAAGAGACATAAGTAAACAATGTAAACTTAGGTATTATCTATTTCCACTATGTTTTCTAGATAAGCCTCACGCGAATTTGCATAAATCGGGCAGGTTGGACCAGGGTAGTGGAGCTGGTTACCGTGGAATGACCGATTGCTGCACCTTTTTTTCCGGGCAGAATTATCTTCATCCGTATCGAATAATACATGTTACATTTCTGTACTAAAAAATGAACAAGCCAAGAGAATTTCACATGTCTCACACGATAAACATAAAGTTAATCGTGCCCGAAAAAAGACCTACGCTACCCTGATCGAAATCGAAACAACTCGCTTCGAACGTGTTCCCGATATCCGCAACAGAAGAGAAAAGAGCTTTCCGAGCAGAACAGCTCCTGTTCTCTGATAAATAATAAAGCACAATGATAGCTAATGACGATCGCGTTTCGCAGCACGGTTAGTAGGTCGCCGGCTACTCAGCGAGCGCGAAAGCAATGCCAATGATGTATTCCACTGGCAAACCCCTGTTCCTCCCTTCCTTCCTGTCACCCTGCAACCCTCCTCTCGATTGCGGGGTCACGTCCTGTTACGAGTTCCCCTCGTCCGCCATGG